GAGCAGGCATTTAAGGGCATGCAGGCCGCTCACCAAGCAGAGCGAAGCTCTGGGCTCTCCTTTGCCACTCACGAGCCCTGGGCCTTGGTGTTGCCCTGCTGACCTCACACAGGCACGCCCCCAGCGACTGCACACAGGTGAGCGTGCAAAAAAAAAAAACCCAGAAAACAAAAAAGACACTTGCTTCATCATCTGGACCTACTCTAGGGCCATAAGGATCCAAATACACTAGCTTCCCCCAAAGCCAATGAACTCCCATCCCTAAGAGTTGAAACAAGGTCCTGCACCTGCTTGGACGGGCCCGCCCCACATGAACGCTGGCATGTGAGGCTGTGCAGGATGCATCACGCCGGGTCCCCGTCCTCCTGGGCTGCCAGGTGAGGCTTCCGCCCGAGCGCCCCGCTGCTGTGCAGCACCACCCTGGGACGGTTCAAGAGCCTCTTCTGACACCCCCAGTTATTTTCCATGGGCCCAGCTTCCCCTTTAGAATCTGCTGAAACAACATAAAAAACAGCACGGCCAAGAACTTTAAAAATCAGCACCCTATATGACGTGCAGTGTTGCAATCAGCAAGCCCTGGCCTGACAGGAACCCTGCTCCTGCCCCACCGTGCGCAAGGGCAAATCTGGTCACAGCTCAGACAGAGCTTTGCATGTGAAATGAAAGATGAGTTTAGTTCAAACCCTGCCGACCCCACATCAGCCAGATGACTGTGGACAAGCTGCTTGGCCACGGGGAGTTCTCGCAGGGTTCTGTCCTGCCACGGGAACAGGGACCGACGTGTGCACAGGACACTAGGCTGACTTTCTGCTCCACCGTGTGCGGGCAGGAGTTACAGGGGGGCACACCTGCAGCACCACACTTTCTTCAAATGTAACGTGGGGACAGAATGCGCCCCCACCGCCCCACAGGTGCCTGAGCCACCTGCAGACACCGTGCGCGGGCGCTTGGTCCTCCTCCGTACAGGGGCGGCGCATCCGCCGCGAGGCTCCTCTGTGCTCTGCCCTCCGCGTCCTCCCCCGTGCCCAGACCGTGCCACACACCGATAAATAAATGCTTTTGAAAGCTCCAGTGAATGAGAGGAAAAGAGGATGAAACCAAGGGCAGAAAGATCAAGTAGCTTCCGGCCCTCTTCTCTGAGGGCCCATTCATAGGGAGCGCACAGCCATGGCCTCTCACTGGCCAGCCCGGTTCATTCCAGCCTCACACATTAATATTCATGTGCACAGGGAGGAAGTCACACAACTAAACCATCTCGGGAGTCACCAAGAAACCAGCAGCACCACCTGCTGCTGCCAGAGCGGAAGGCGGCCTCTGTCCTGGCCCAGGCGTGGGAGGGGGGCAGAGAGGAGGACCAGGCCAGCCAAGGCCTTCTCAGTCACCACGCTGCGAGCCCCCGCATCCCAGGTGGGCTGCTTTGTGTGTCTGAGCGGCGGAGGAAGTGCCCGCTGACCTGGCAGGCTCCGATTTCCCTCCTCTCGGCCCTCAGTGTCGCCTCCCGAGGTCGGCTGGCCGAGCCACCCCCAGTGCTGCTTGGGAAGAGATGGCAACAGCAGGCCTGGCCACAGACAGTGGCTTTCAGAACAGTGCTCCTTTCATCCAGAGGGCGCCGCTAGCAGCGCCTGAAAGGAGACCCTCTAATCTTTCTAATTTACAAACGTGTTACAAGGCACGGCGGGGTGGGGGGGGGCCCTGAAAACACACGAGCAGATCGCACTAGGGACGGCCCGTCACCCTGGCGCCCGCACCTGGCTCTGGGGCTGTGGGTGGCAGGTGGAGGCAAGGGGGCTGCTACCAGGCTCTGGTGGACTTGGGGGCACTGCCGAAGGCAGCGCACTGAAAGCGCAAAGCCATGCGCCGCCGCGGCCGCCGTCCACTGGGGCTGCGCCATGCGAGGGTCTGATGACGCTGGGAAATGCTCATTCTACAGTGCAGACGAAACCCATCCGCCCACCCGTCCACACATGCGCGCTCACAGTTGTATATACACTATGACCCTGGCTACGTGAAAACTTAAGTGCCCAGAAACAACAGGAAGCAGATAAGCTAACGTTTTAGCACCAGTCACCTCTCCACGCTGCAGCTGGAGGTGACGTCCCAGGGCACATACACCACTGAGGCCTTCGAGGTGGTCCAGGGCGGTCCAGGGCCCGGCGCCGAGGGGCTTACGCACAGAGCCTGCCTCTAACTTGCCGTGTGACCCCAGAAGACAAACAACCTCTCTGGCTTCAGGGGCCTGTTTTCTCCGCAGGTCACTGGCAAAAATGCCAAATGCATCAGATCCAAAAAGAGGGCCCTGGGCTGGGAGGCAGCAACAGTCCGTGAACCTCCTGTGGCTGCCTGCAGATGTGTTTTATTAGTCCCAAACATAGTCTTAATTTTTTTAGTTCATTGTTAACATTTAAAAATTAACAGATTTCAAAAATGGAGGTTTCAATCTTCTCTTAAAAAAACTGGACTTGTAACAGCCCCAAAATAGAAAGAACCCAAATAGCCATCAACTGCTAAGTGGTCAAACAAAATGTGGTGTCCCCTGTCACATGGAACGTTGCCCAGCGGTACAAAGGGACGCAGAACGTACGCGCGTCTCGCGATCAGCCCTGATGGCCGCATGCATGTGAATGGCTACTGTGCGCCGGGCTCTCCACTCAAAACGGTCACAACGGTGAGCGTTGTGCCAGAGGAGGTTCATCCTGACTTCAAAACACCGGAAGGGCAAGCCCGCGCGGGCGGCCTCGCAGGGGATGCTCCTCCGCCTCCGAGTGCCGCCGCCGCCGCCCCCATCTTGCCCGCGCCTGGCACCTGGCCGGCGCTGCCTCAGCTGTGTAAGCCCCAGCTGCTGCAGCATCCTGCGCCTCCAGCAGCGCTGCCCAAGTCCCCACGGGGCCCAGGTCCCCGGCTCAACCAGCACAGCTGGCTCCAGGACACAGCCCATCCGCCAGCCACAGGAAGGGCTGGGCGAACTTGTTCATTTATAAAGTATTTATTTACCTCTCCCTCTCCCAACGAGCTAATACAAACAGTAAAAAAAAAAAAAAAGAAAGAAAGAAAAAAAAAGAGAGAGAGAGAGAGAGAGAGAGAAGGGGAAAGTGTGCCTCCTTCCCACCCCGTAGGTCCCCAAAGCCCCTCCCAGAACCAGCCCCTGGCTCTGTGGCACTCGGCCTTCTCAGGCTCTCTGGCTCCACCCCCGGCGATCCTGTTCTGTTCTGGGCACTGAGAACCTACCCCTTAGTTTAATGAGCAATTACAATTTGGAAAGGGATTGTTAGTCTTTCCTGAATAACATCCTCATCCATAAGTTAAGGTGGCTATCCCTTTAAAGAACAATTTTCAATATAAAAATAAGGTCAAAGCCACTGCCTGGCAGGGCCTGCTGTCCCCACAGGCAGCACTGAGCGGGCACATGCAGTGGCCCCCCCTTCACAGTCCCCCTGCATGCTCAGCAGGGCTTCCCATACCACAGGCTCCCTGTGGGGTACGGCGCGTGGCGCGGGCCATGTGCCCATGCCCCTGGCAGCCCTGGTGCCAGCCTTCGCGGAGGGAGGACTCCTGACCATTGAGCCTAGGGTTTGCCCCACGGCCCAGAGGGCTCTAGCCAAAGGAACTTCGGGGCTCGAGGTCCCTGAAGCCGACATCACCCAACACCATCTGGGGCCAATGCTGTCCTCTGGGACATGTCCATGCACATGGCAAGCGGGCCAGGTCCTGAGTGCCCAGGAAGCCGCCCACACCTGCTTTCCAGCCCCCACCCTCCTCGCTGCCCCCGCAATTCCCCGCTGCCCACTCCATCCCAGGGCCCCCATGTCTGTACCCACCGCACACGGCACTTCCTCGTGCCTCTCCCGAGCCAAGGCTTCTACTGGGAGCCTGTCAGGCCTCGTCTGGCCCCTGGCCATTCCCACTCTTCCTTGAAGATTCCTCCAAGATGCCTGCCTCCCGGCCCCTGCTCCCCTACTCCAGATATAAGCCCACCTCCTGACGCAGGCGGGCGCCAGGGCGCTCTCGGAGACCTGCCACCCCGGCACAGCCCGCACGCAGCACTGCCACGCTGCTGTCCCCGTCTTGCCCGCCCCGGCCCAGAACCTTGCATGCAGGACGGTACGTGTGTCTGAAACCCGCACACCAGGACGGAGCCTGGCACCTGGCTTGCTTCAGCCAACAAGCAGGGGAGCCAGGTGAACACAAAAGACAGTTCCAGTTGGGGAAACAGACGCCCTGACAAGTAGGGGCAAGTTGCCAGAAAATATACAATTCAAAGTTCCCAAACAGAAAACCCACAGATCGCCCATGTCCGGCAGGGTTCAGAGCACCCAGAGCATATTCCCAGAGCATGGGTTGGGTGGGGAGCCTGCAGGTCAAGCCCCGTTTCTAGCAATCCAGAAACCTGTGAGTCCAAGATCTCCACCCAGATTAAAGCAGTTACGCTTTAATTTCAAGCTGCACTCAGGGTTCCAACCTCTTGCTACAAATTCTCTTGCATCTGGCATTAAACAGAACTGTAAAATATTCATTTAACCTAGTAGACTAATTGACTATTGCTTTAAATGACAGGTAAAAAGAATTAGAGCAAACGTATCCCCTTTTCATTAGCAGTCACGTTACGTACATCATAATTTCCAGCTAATTATGACAACTTGATTTACACATTTCACGGTGTGTTATTAGTTTCTTAACCTGACCGCTGGGTGCAACTCTGAGGCTGAGAGTGCTGACATGCCCCAGAGGTGGGACAAGCCATTTCTGATGCTCATGGGAAGCAGAGAGGAAGTCAGCTTTCCCTCTACCAAAGCAGAAAACCATCCGGAGCAGAGCGGAAGGGAGGGCTGTACCCCAGGCCTCCGGAGGGGGGCAGCGGCCTGGTGGGCATCGCAGATGCCTGGAACCCCACCCCCGTCAGCCACATTCACTCTCCCCTCCGCCCGGTAAGGGAGAGCGAGAAGCTCTGTCCTGCTGCCCCTCTCCCGTTCACCAAGCAGGCACGAGACAAATGGGATCTTTACCGAAAGATGGCCAGGGGTTGGAAGAGCTGGCGGGGGCTGCCGGCCCGCCCCAGGGGTTGCTCTGGTTGGCTGAAGCCGATGGGCCCCATGGTTCTGCTCTCTGGGCAGCAGGGCCTGAGCTGGGGAGGGCGTCCATTAAATCCAACAGAGTGGTCTGCTGCGGGTAGGAGCCGGGCTTTGGAGACAAAGAGAACGGGATAGGTTTTACTTTGCTATGGCGATACATGACAGCCATCAACACTGCCTGTGCTGCTTACTGGGGCAGAGGCCCTTGGGGCGGGGCCCCGCGGACTGCGGAGATGAGGCGGCCCGCCTGCAGCCCCGTCCGTGCCCCCCGTCCCCCAGCACCCACGCCACACTGAGCCACTCGCTGTGCGCCCAATGACCCGCTCACTTTCACACAGCCCTCCCGGCTTTCCTGCACAACACGGGCCTTGTCCCAGGTCCCTCCTCTTTCCAGGGTGCACACGTGTCTTTTTCCTCCAGCAGCCAGCCACTGCCCAGGGCTCTGGCTCCTGGGGGCTGCCCCCTTTCCTGCCCCCCAGGCTGCGGTCAGGCATGCTTCTGGGCACTGTAACATGGGAGGTGCGGGGCAGGCCCCGTGGAACAGGGGGCCTGAATCCTGCCTGGACGACGGGCCTGCCGGGAGCAGAGCCACGTCCTGGTTGCCTTGCGGTCCAAAGCAGGAAGTCTGGTGCAGAAATGACAATGGTGAGGAAGAGCAGTCTGGCAAGCACTGGCCCTGCACCAGGAAGTGGCTCCAGAGCACCTGGCGCTCAGCTTCCCTAACTAAGGGCAGCCCCACTGGGTGAGGGGGCTCTCCTACCCGCCGCTTCCCAGAAGGGGGACAGAGGGACAGGTCGGCAGGGAGTGCGAACCCAGGCACCCAGGCCCCTGCCCACGCCCGCTTCTCCCGGGACAGCCTCAGGAGGCGGGCGACCTCACCTAATGCTCGTCACAGGCGCAGGGCCCTTCACCGAGGGGAGAAGCTGGCACCTGCGAGAGCTCCCCAGGTATCGCTCGCACACTGCGGGCTGGTCTGGGACGGTCTCGAAACACCTGCCTTCCCAGCAAGCACTCACCTCTTTCTTTTTCGGAGCTTTAACCGTGTCCCTCCGGCTTTCTTCGAGGGCCATCTGCAGCCTGAGGTCATCGCCCCGCCTGAGGCGCTCTTCCTGTGGACGACAATGGCCGTGAGGCTGAGAGTCACCGTGTGACATCGCCGTACAGAACAAAGCCACCCTGGCCAGACCAGGAAAGGCAAGATGGGGTGACGTGCTATTTCAGAAGAGGATTCGGAAACAACATGTGAGACACAGTGACTCTGGGTGACTCCTGCCCGCCCCCCCCAACAGCCCTTGGGGGGCTTCCGCCGGCTGCAGGAGCCTGGGCACAGCCCCGACAAACTGGGGAACGGGGATACTTATTCAACAATTATGTTTCTCAAAATGAAAATGGCTTTATAATTCCAATTATAGAAGCAATATGTCTCCTAATAAAACTAAAAGATCTGACAACCCAGAAAGGAACTGAAAAGATTATGAAAACTACACATCATCCCACTTCCCACCGTGTACGCTTCCAGAAACTGGCTGTATACGCCCTACGGTTTCTAACAAAAATGATTCATTATAGCCACCATGTGCAAAAGACTGGGTCACCCTAGCTTTTAAATAATGACTAAATGTAAGTAAATATATTGTAACTACAATAAATCATAGATACGTTATTAACTGAAATGGGCCCAGAAGGTCCATCTGTACTTCCATCTAAGCATCTGTAGTAGTTGATTGGTCTGTAAACAGCACTTCTAAGTGAGAACCCCCGCCCCGGCCCCCGCCCCCGCCCGCAACCCCGACTCCATCTGGCCTTTCTGCCCGAGGCCAGCGGACAGCCCTGGCAAGCAGGCTGAGGGCTGACAGCTCTGAGAGGTCATTTCAATCACTCTTTCTCCTCTTTTTCCATTTTAAACCAATGCATCTTTATTAAAGAACATTGGGAACTAGAAAAATTATAACTCCACATACTTCCATCATCGAAACAGGAACACTCTTATTTCCTGGGGCACTTCCTCCTGGCCTTGTTTCCCTGCCTCTCTTTTTCAGTGTCCGGCTGCTGCTGGCCCACCTCACCAGACTGCCCAGGCCAGCCCGATCGGGAGCCCACACACCACGCCCCCAGGGGGCTGGGGGCTCTCAGCGCATTCAGTGAGGTCCCACAAGGCTGGGTCATGTCTGCAAAAGTGTTTCTGGGGAGCACTTTTGACTGGTTTGTCCCTTCCTTGGCAATGACTTCCTGAAAACCTTTCCTAAATGTAACTTTGTGTAGGATTCCTCCCCGACCGGGGGGCGGCAGGGGTGGGGGAAGTAGGTGACAGACAAGTCGTATCTCGGGCAGCACATCCAAAATGTGGAGGACAGCGCCCCCCCGCCCCCCCACAGGGCACTGCTCAGGGGCCTGGGCACGACCTGCTCAGCGACTTCTCGGCTCATGGCCAGCGCCAGCTGCAGCTGCAGCTCCTCTTCTCCGCTGGTCTGGGGCCGGGCCTGCTCCAGCTCAGAGGACACCCGGGGGGACGTGGCTGCGGGGAAGGCAAAGGACAGGTTCGAGCTCCGTTGTCACCTAGTTAAGTCACAGCCCCTTCCCATCTCACAGCCACAGGCCTGGCAATAGCTCCACAACTCGGGGATTGAAAGGTTTGCGAATATTTCAAGGTTGATGCCAAGCAATGTCAAACGTGGTTTCACAGCTGCCCCGGAAAGATGGCTTCAGGCTCCCACCCGGTGGCCAGGCCTCCCCGGGGTTGCGCCTCAGCCCGCACTGCAGAGGGGCGGCGCTTTGAAGGGGGAGCTCGTTTTCTTCAAAGGCTGGGAGCACAGTCCCTGAAAAGCTGGATCGGAGAGGATCGGAGAGCATCGGTCCAGCGAGTGCCTGACAACTCCACGTGACACTCCCAGCCCCCCACCCACCCCCCTGCCCGGGAGGAATCTTACTTCGCATTTCATAGCAGGGAGGATCATGGAAAGTGGAGGCCAAACATTTCTGCAGTCACCCTGAAGACTTGTTTTTTTAAGTAAAACTGTACATTGATTTGGAAAAAAATATGCTCATTTAAACACTTGTAAGCAGCTCCTGGAAAGGCAGCTCGTGTGGAACGGACAGGGTGGGAACTCCAGCTCTGCAACAAATGCTGAGAGACGCAGCGACGACGCAGCCCAGGGCCAGCGGGCTGGGCCTTCCCACGACAGGGGCGCCGGGTGTGCCAGCCCCCAGGAGCCCTGCAGCAGGCAGCGCGGGTGTCTCCAGAGGCAGGAAGTGAAGTTTGGGGAGGAGGTGCCCAGGTGGGTGCCCGTCTCCTCTGACATTCTCCCTGGGAGGTCTGCCACCTACAAGAGCTCTGGAACCACTGTCCCGGGCAACTCCACTCGGCCCCAGCCTCCCTCAGCCCCTCCCGGCTCCGGTCTCAGAGCCCGGGCCCGCACCGCACCCCCTCCGCCCTCTCCTCGGGATGGGCCAGCACTCCCGCGGGGCCGCCTTCACGCTGGGCCGTGCCCGAAGGTTCACTGCTTGGGAAGGCCCAGGCTTGTCTTCCCACTGTGACGCCCGCGGACAGAGCTGGACAGTGCAGGGCGAACGCCTGGGGGACGGCTGGAGGGATGCACGCGTGCACAGGCGGATGGAGAGACAGACCGATGGAGAATTCAATTTCATGGCTGATGGGGAACTTTTTGGAAAATACTGTGATTGTGTATTAGTTTGCTTCCTTCTTTCATTACATCCGTTCTAACAAACCCAACCATCAAGACTCGCCCATATGCTGCTTCTGCCTAAATCTCCAATCTTGGCTTACTTCTTAAGATCCGCCTCTCAGGGAAAAGGCGAGGGTGGGGAACGAGCCCTGACAGAGGGGCGTCCAGGCAGCCCGGCTGCTGGCTGCGGGGGTAAAGCAGGAGGAGGGGGTTGGACCCAGCCAGGGGAGCCGGGCCAGGCTGAGGCCGCTCTGGGCGGGGCCGGCCCAGTGCAGGGCAGGAGGCTGTAGCTGCACTGCTCTGTCACACAATTGAAAACACATAAAACGTGCGGCAGCAAGATCTCATTCCAACCAATTCAGTCGTGGGAAGCACAGAGCATTTGCTATGATTTACTGTCAACCAAAGAATCATCAAAAAAATAAATAAAAAAGTCAGCAACCGACTGCCTCACATCTACTGTATGCTACATGAAAGAGCAAAAAAAGAAAAAGAAAAATGCTGCTGTTATAAAAACACATTCTCCTAAATAAAATCAAATCGAATCCCAGCCTAGTGCAGCACCACAATATTTTACAAAGCATTTCTTTAGAAATAAAGCCAGGTGGTATCAAAATGTCCTCAAATCCATTTTAATAACTTGATTTCTTAAACATATACCAAAACAAAAATGCCTGTCTGGTTGGTTTTGTTCTGAAACATCACTTATGCCCATCACAGGACTGAGCTCTGGGCTTCCTTGTGCCCTGGAAGCACCGTCCTGAACGGTGGGAACGAAGGAAGCTGGAGGGTTCGGGGGACACTTGTGGGGGTTGTTCGCGACAGCTCTGGGGGACTCTCCTCAGCTGAATGTGGCTCTGCTATGGGACCACTCAGACCACCTGTCCCCAGCCTCTTTCCCGAAAAAGATTTGCTGAGGCTTGCTTCACAAAAACACCCAGTTTGTAACAAACACCGCACGCTGGACGTCCTTCGTTTACTACCAGATGACACTCACGAGTGAGAAAAGCAGCTGCCGTCCCATGCTAGGCTGCGTCCCCAGAGGCACCCTGAGCATGAGCCACCCGGCAAGGAAGGCTGCTCTGCTGCTCTGCTGTGCTGCCGCGGGCTGGGCACTGTCACCCAGGGGTGAGTGCCACAGGGCTCCGGACAGCGACTTCCGGCAGAGAGGAGGCCACCCCCGCCCCCCATCCTTGGAGCACATCTGCACGGCCAGGCCAGCTTCAAATGCAAATGTCCACGTTTATAGCTGCCACAAGTGACGCACTTAGAACAATGCACAGCCAGCACACACAGAAACAGCTTCCCACATCAATGTGGATATTAAAGACCAAGGGTATTCCCCTAAATGCTGTGGTTTCTACCAACGGAGGCACAGCTCTCAGGTCCGCAAATGGCGGAGCTCACAGCCACCGGCGCGGATCATCAGCGAGCCGTACTGAGGCCTCAGCTGTGGGGCAGGGCTCCAGCAGAGATGTTCCCGCACCAGTGACAGCATCCCGGCCCCACAAAGGGCCTCTTGTGCTCGCACACATGACAGCGAACACAGACGTGCTTGTAAGATGGGCCTGAAGGGACCCTCTGGCCACCTGAGCACGGCCCGGCCCTCCTCTGAGGAGCTGACGGTCCGCGCCTCCCAGGGCCTCACGGAAAAGCAAGTGCCGAGAGGCACCCGGCCTCGGGCCGCAGGCGGCCCCATCCCCAGCCCCTGGGCCGGGAAATGCAGAAGTCGTCAGTGTGAGCTCCTCACCAGAGGGGCATCGGGTGCCTCATCGCCGCCTCCTACTGCCGAGATCCCAGCTGGCAGGGTTCAAAGGATTCACGTGCTCTGGCTGAGAATCACACACACAGCGGGCCTCATTTCTATCCTCCTCGGCCTGCTTACCTTGCTGAGAAAGCCTGAGGGGTGAAGTTGAGTAGAGAGCCTGAAGAAGCCCACATCGCCCTCAAAACCCGGGCTGAGAGGAAGCCTCCCGGGGCAGACAGCCCAGGGTTTCCGGCACCCCCGCCACCCCTCCTGCCCCGCGGACGGCCTGGGCCGGGCCTGGGCCGAGCCTGCAGGCCCCGCAGTGCTCGGGCCCTGTGCCGCTGGAGGGCCGCCCTTCCCAAATGCCTCCCGGGAGGACAGACACTTCAGCTGGTCAGGCTCGGGTAATTTTGAAAGAGAAAAGAGCAATCAAGGTAATAGAAAAACAGGAAATTGCCTCATCAGTTAGGTTTTGCAATTTTCCTAGAAAGTACTTGAGCAGCTTTTACAATCGCATATGGTGATTAGTGGGAACAGGATTTTACTGTCAAAGGGCTCTCGGGGTGACCAGCAGGACTTGGGGAAAGCCCTCTGGTATGTGGGCCTCATGCAGGCTGAGGGCCTCCTCTCCGTGTGTCCCCAGCTGACGCTGGACACACAAGGCACATGACACCTCAGCAAGAACGCAAGGTCACCCGGCCTCAGGGGTCCGAGAAGAGCTCAAGCGCCTTTGCAGCCCCGTGCCCGCCGGCCAGCCGGGACACCAGGGCCCCGGTCCTACCGGCTCTGCCTGCGGGGCCGCGAGCCCGCGCACAGGCAGCCTGACCTCTCTGGGCTCCTGCCTGCTTGGTGAAATGGAGACTGGGAGACGGGGAGTAGGGGAGGGAACTCGCAGAGGGAGGGAGTGACGAGGCCACAGCTGGGTCCCGCAGAGGATGTGCCCTGCCCCTGGGGCACTGCTCTCTGCTCCATCTCCTTCCTCACCACCACGCAACCTGGGGCCTAGAGCTCTGCTGGGTCCTCCTACTTTCTGTCTCACGCAGCAGAAACCATAAACGCGTAGTCTGTGGTGACGACCAGGCCTTCGCGGGGACAGGACTGTGGCTCTGAGCAGGCTCGGCCTCCACCAGCCTCTCCCCACTGCTGCAGTCCTTTGCGGGAGGGGCTGGGGAGCCCACCTGAGCCCAGGGCCAGCTTCTGCCTCCAGTGACCAGTTCTCCGGTCCAGGGAAGTTCCTTCCTCATTCCTCAGCTGCAGCGGAGCTCCTACTGGGCCCTCTCAACCTGGCGCCATCTTCCTGGGGTTCTCCTGGCCATTTGCTGAGCCAGCACCCCGGGCCCCTGGGTACACGTGCACCCACAGCCTGCCCGAGTTGAGGCCTCCATGCCCGATGCCCAAGGGAGAGGCTCAGCGCACCACAGGGAGGAGCAGGGAAGCCTGCTTGTAGTTGAATGAGGCAAATTATGAGAAACTAAGCTCAGTTACCCCACATAAAATTGAGAGAGAAAAAAAGTCGTCAATCCGCTGGGGAAGAGCACAAGCTGAGAAGTGTGGCAAAGCACCGCCACAGCCAGGTCCTTCTCAGGCTGCAGGGGGCAGGGGTTCCGACTCAGAACAGAGGGCAAACTGTAAGCGCCTGGTGCTACAGCCGACCCTGCAGACGCAGGACACCACCGCCCCCCACCCTAGGTCCTGGCCACACCTCTGACTGGGTCTGCTCCCAGTGCACACACGCGCCGGGGGGTGGGCAGACCCAGGCTGAGGGATGCTGCGGGGGGCTGGCCGGGTTTCTGGTATGTAAGAGTCATGAGACAAAGGGGACTCGCTGCAGTGAGACTAAAGGAACAGGACAGCCAGATGCCACGTGCGGTCCTGGGGGGTGGGCTAGGTTTAGGCAGGTCGGCTGGAAGGCACTTTCAGGGCAGCTGGCGAAACTGCCCGTGTGCTGGGCAGCAGATGAGACTGGTACAGTTGGTCAGGTGTGACAACGGCTTTCCCACTCACTCTTGAGGCAGAGGTGAGGATTGAAGGCCTGACAGGTACACGGGCAGGATGCTAGGGCTTCTTTACAAACACTTCAGCGTG